TAACAAGGCAATCGGTGCATCTCTAGATAGCAGGCTTTCAAAGGTCCATCTTCCACTCACACAATGAGAGAAGTGACGACAGAGGAGGAAATGTGATTAGGGAGAACACACGGAGCTCTCAGTGAGATTAAGCAGCTCACGGCTCATGAGTGTCTGAGCTCAGAGAGATACTACAGGACCTGAGTGGGGTTAACGGTCAACAAGCAGTGCCTTCTTGATCCACTTCAGCATTATTACTGCATCAGCTGACCCTCTTGACCAATCACACGCTTCCCACTTACTATCTCAATATTTTATCCTTCTTCCTTCACTTCACTGTACGATATTGATTATTCTGTTACACTCACAGTTAATACCTACATAGGAAAGCTCTGATTTAGTTTGAAATAGTTTTTATGATAGCTTTTATTAGTTTTAATTTTAAAGTCAAATAAAATTACTTAGATATTGCTTTTTTTTTTACTTTATTTACTTATTGGGTATTCCTTCATATATATATATATATACTAGGGATGTGCGGGTCTAGTCGACCAGTCGACTAAACGGTACAGCTCCTACTAGTCGACACTGAAAACAATAATCGATTACACGACAAAAACAACAAAACATGATTTTATCTGTATATGCGTTTTCTTCGTGTCAGTTGCTGTGAGTTCAGAAATGACCATGCGAAAGACAAGCAAGGTGTGGGATTATTTTGAATTAGAAGGAAACTGAAAAATTTTGTGTAAACTGTGTAATGTCAAATTGTCTTACAATAACTCTACTGGAGCGATGCGTAATCATATTCAATACAGGCACGTAGGCGTTAACTTAGAGGCTGGCCAAAGCCAGCAAATGTCAATCACGTCATTCACTACAATCCGCCGAAGACCCACTTCGGTGCTGGTGCGGGATGTCCAGGTGCTTTCTGAAACTCTATCGGCTTGCTTTTCGTTATCTCTGCATGCCTGCGACTTCAGTTCCAGCCGAGCGTTTTTTCAAATGTATGAATTTTATTGTTAATCACCTCAGGTCCCGTCTTTCACCAGACCACGTTGAAAATTTCACTGAATAAATAACAAGGAAGTAAAATTGGCATTGTTGCATTGTTTTGTTTTTAGACAATATAGCCTACACGAAGTACGTTTTTAAAAGCCGTTTTAATGCTATTTCTTGATAAACCTTCCTATTGTTTTTGACTTGTGTTTTAATATGTTGGCTAACGTTATATGAAGATTAAGAATTATGTCAGGCTATTGATTGATTTTCCATTGTTCTGCATTTCCCCAGCTGATTTGAATAAATAAACTATGCTTTGGCCGACGTTGAGTGTATGCTCTTCTTTTTTTTTCTTTTTAACGACCTCCTAAAATGAAATGATGATAACGCGAGGCAAGTGTGTGGTAAGCGCAATTCATTGAGGGATTTGACTTGTCATAGATTAAGTATTTCAAATATAGGCTATTATATATGCTACACCCACGAGTTTTTTTTTTTCTTACCATCTTTTGGGGGTTTCTTGCTTTTAGACTAGTCGGATACAAAACTTTCGTTTAAACGACAGTCAAATTAGTCGTCGTGCACATTTCTAATATATACCTGCATTTTACCTTTTTTTTTTTTATAAAATAAAATAAACGGAATTATATTTTATTTTATGCTATTTCTTGATAAACCTTCCTATTGTTTTTGACTTGTGTTTTAATATGTTGGCTAACGTTATATGAAGATTAAGAATTATGTCAGGCTATTGATTGATTTTCCATTGTTCTGCATTTCCCCAGCTGATTTGAATAAATAAACTATGCTTTGGCCGACGTTGAGTGTATGCTCTTCTTTTTTTTTCTTTTTAACGACCTCCTAAAATGAAATGATGATAACGCGAGGCAAGTGTGTGGTAAGCGCAATTCATTGAGGGATTTGACAGTGTCATAGATTAAGTATTTCAAATATAGGCTATTATATATGCTACACCCACGAGTTTTTTTTTTTCTTACCATCTTTTGGGGGTTTCTTGCTTTTAGACTAGTCGGATACAAAACTTTCGTTTAAACGACAGTCAAATTAGTCGTCGCGCACATTTCTAATATATACCTGCATTTTCCCTTTTTTTTTTTTTTTATAAAATAAAATAAACGGAATTATATTTTATTTTAAATCTATTAATTTTTTACTAGTTTTATCAAATTTATTCAAATTAGAAAATAAAAAACTGACAATAATGAAAAAAAAAAAAAGAATCACACAAAAAAATGTATTACAATAAGAAAGGCTCAATATTTTTTAATGCGAAAATACATTTTGTGCTTGGCTCTTTCATCTCCCAGAAACCGAGAAAACTACTATCAGAGGGAAAAGGCGCTGTGGTTATTCAAATTCTGTGTTATCACTTCCTTTATTACAGCTCAGCTAAAGCAGAACAGAAACACTATTAAGTAACTTCAGTGCATTCAGTGCATTCAGCACGCGCACACACACACACACAAATGATCGTACAGCTGTCAAATACTCCAGCAGCTGCTGAGTGTGACACTGCAGTGAAAGAGACTCAAACCATTCTGGTACAAGTATTCCCTTCATGCAGGATACTTCACAACATGCACCTCTTCTACGATCTTGCCTAACATTATACACTAAATCTCTAGAGTTTCCAGATGCCCAAACCAGAAGCAGCTATATTAAGAAGATTCATATTTCTTGGTGCTTCTGTCCCAGTTTCACACAGGTTCCTCTGACAATGCAACACGTCACACACGTAATTTGCACTTGATACACTGCAAACAATTTTATGCAACAAGCCGTCAAACATTAACTGCACTGACTGTCTGCCACATGAGAGTGAAAATGGGCATATTTACTTGACATTGCATAAGTAATTGTACTAGTTGCAGCATATTAAATGGTTCAAGTTAAACTGAACATAATTCAGCCCCCTTCTGAAGTAAGTGAGAAATATTCTTGAGGAACAAAAATCTGAAATATGAGGTGGAAAAAGAGTGCCAGCGACAGATGACTCAACGGTTTGTCACTCGATCCCACTTCTTTTTACGACGGTTTCTGCCTGAAGACCACAGTCATGCAACCCACACGGACACACTCCAGCGCGCAGCCACTGCTGAACCAAAACTGTACCACAACCAATGAGACTCAAGCTGTCTTAGAAAATATAACAGCAAGAGGACACAATGTGGGGCATTCCTGAGTAAAACATAGATGTTCAAATTAATTTAAACAAGAATCCAGGCATTGTGTTATTTTAGTATAATTCATATAATATTATAATATTTAGAATTTGCTCATTTGATATTTTTAGTTTACATCTTGATTTTAGTACAAGTTTTAGTGATTTTATTAGCGACATGTCATTTTTACTTCGTTTTTAAAAAAATATTTCGAATACAGTGTAGTAGGACATCATTGACTAAAACATTTTCAAATTAATTTAAAGAAAAATATATATTTAATATACGAACATATTTTCTTCTGAAATGTATACATGCATGCGTGTGTATTTATATATACATAATAAATATACACAGTACACATACATATTATGTAAACCAAAACCTTTATTTTGGATGCGATTAATCGTTTGACATATATATATATAAAATTTCTAAGTACCTTTACTTTTATTTCAGTTTTACTTTTTGTAATTTTAGTACTTCAACTTAATCTTGTTTATTTTTAGTAGTTACCAAGGCAACTTTTCTAATTCTCATTTAAGTTTTAGGTATTTTACTTGTTTTAATACTGAAAAATATTTTTAATAGTTTAGTTAACAATAACAACACTATCCAGACAACTGAAACCTTAAGTTATATTATTATTTTTCAATCAATCAATTGAACAAACAAATCAATACAAATAAAAAATATGATTAAAAAAATTTAATAAATAAAGGTTTAGTCAACTTTAACAACAGTTTTTGACTTAAGAGAACCTGCTTTATTTTAAAAAAGCAACTTATTTAAACAAGATGAATAGCTTATAACTATATTGATAGTATAGCATGAAATGTCATGCCTCTGGTTTGCTATAGGCCTACTGCTTTTATAAAATGGCAATTACACATTACACAAATTAGTGGTTTATCACTAACAACTCAACTTCAGTTTTTCTTAATTTGTAGTTTCATAATGTGTAAAAGCTATTCAAACTTAAACTCAACTGCAACTACTTTTGGTTTAATCATTTCAAATAGTGGTTCCCAAACATCTACTCCAACTATTTTTATTACTTTTCAGATCCACTCACTGCTACCCCGGTTCACACACAGTGAGCACCAGCTCCAACAACAACAACAACAACAAAAAAAGCATGATTTTGGTAGAAAAGTGGTATCATTCAGTGCAACGAGTGGGGTACAAATCATTATCTGCATACGAACGTCAACACATCGACACTGTTTTTGCATAGCACCCTATTTTCTAGGGATGCACGATATATCGGCCACCATATCGGTATCGGCCCATATCGGCTCATTTTTTCTGTTATCGGTATCGGCCAAAATTTTCATATCGGTGCATCCCTACTATTTTCTGCAATAAACCATCTAAAATACATTCACAACCAAGAGTATTATTACCTAGCCATTAATTCTGTGTAACTTCATAACTCGCCTGAGGTCAACAACTGTGAAGGCAGAAGCGCCACACCTGCATGCTGCAACCCCTTCACCTGGCACACAAATAATACTCTACTGAACTGCTGCTGAATAAGGATTCAAAACTGACCAAAAACACAGATTTTAACATCTTACAGGTAGAACAAGAGAAGTTCTTTGTCTACAACCACAGACTCACAAAACTTGAGCAACAAACAGGTTTTACCTGACACGGAAATCCTTAAACAGAAATTCCTGATTATTTGCTGAATGTCGGAAGTTCGTGACCAGTTACACAAATCTCTGTAAGGTCTACTAGAAGTGAGATGCGCTATAAATTGGAAGAATGCATTTGAGAAGTGCGCTGTAGTTCCACCCAGCAATCGCTTCTTCATTCTCACAGTGAGCTCACCTGAGTGAATAGGTATATCCCGTGTTATCCGGAGTACACTGAGGAGGAGTATACGTGTGCAGATGGGAAAAATCCATGGTAATTCGCTGAGCACGCTGTGAAGAATAAACCAGATGTGAAGAGCAGACTTCACAAACTACGGCAACAGCTAACGTGTGATGATGGGTGTGACTTCAGTGTATAAACATCACAGTCACACCCATGAAAGCATGCACACACACACACACACACGCGGTCTGCGGTTCAGCCTGCCTCTGGGAGGAATCCTGATAAGCAACATATGGCACTTTTCCACTGCATGGTACGGCACGGCACGGCTCACTTTTGGGGGGTTTTCCACTGGGTACAGTACCTGGTACTTTTTTTAGTACCACCTCGGTTGAGGTTCCAAGTGAACCGTACCGTTACCAAAACGTGACGTGTAAACTCTGCTGATCACGGATTGGCTGGAGAGAATCGTCACTACTGCGTCACTGAACTTGCGACACAAACACAACAGAACCGCTAGATTTAAATCAGCACAGCCAGCGAAGGATCGAACGCAACTGTTTTAACAACCAAAAAGTGGCTGTTTCGTTGTCTGTTGAGAGAGTACAGATGTTCCTCTCGTTGATAGCAGAGGAGTGGATCCAGCCAGAGCTTGCTTGATGGGGTGACGTGGAATGAAAAAGTATTTCAGGAGTCGCGGCAGTAGAGACGGCGCAACTATAACGACATGTGAATAATCCCACCCACTCTAAAGCGGTACTGAACTGCAGTGGAGACGCAAACCGTGCCGAGCCGTGCCGTGCCGAGCCGTACCACGCAGTGGAAAAGCGCCAATAGGAACAACTTTAGTTTAATTGTTTAGTCGCATACAGGTGACTGAAGACAAAGCTAGTGGTAACTACAGACAGCAACTCTTTCATAGTAAACTGTGCTCTTTAATGTGGAAACTCTTCATCTGATATTGCTGATCAAACAGGAAGTGACAGACCACACCTACACCTTCACAAATCAACAACTGTCCAGTGTGACTTGCACTAACAGGACAGCGAGAGCACAGAAATTTTAGCATGTATTTATTACACAGATATGATTACCAAATGAAGACTTCTGACATATTTATAAAAACTGCATTCACAAAGTGGCAATTAAATATTATTTTATAGCTGAGCATTATTAGCTACACGTATATCCACTTTAGAGATTTTGGTAAAAGTTTACAAAAATTACAATTTATTAATTAGGCATCATGAACTAAACTGAAAAAAAATTTCAGCAATTGCTAGTAAATTTCACAATTATAAAGAAACAGCAAGAAACACATTGAATTAAACAAATTGTTGTAGAGAAATTAAAATAGCATTTTCTTGTAAAATGTACTATTTACCAGTGTACATATGCATAATGTTTGTACAGAGGTTATTAAAGTAGACTAATATTAATATTTATTGTTACCTTTATATGATTAATATATTTTTTACATTTAATAAATGACACATCAAGTTATCTATATAGTAAGTTATAAACAAATAAATTATAATCAAATAAACACGATTAATTATTAAGTATTATATGTATTATCAAAAGCATATTTATAAATAAACATTAACCTTAATATCAAAGATTTAACAAATGCTGTAAAAATTGCTGTTGTTAGTTCATGATACCCTGTGCATTAACGAATGAAATCTAAACTCTTATTGTAAAGTGCTACTTAAACTTCCATGAAACATTATGATTTCATTCGATCACGTTTGTTTTCTTATGCCATTATTAACCTAACTCGATGCTTTGTTTAGTCATCTGTAGACTAGCAGACCGTAAACTAACCTATTTCAGGAGTCGCGGCAGTAGAGACGGCGCAACTATAACGACATGTGAATAATCCCACCCACTCTAAAGCGGTACTGAACTGCAGTGGAGACGCAAACCGTGCCGAGCCGTGCCGTGCCGAGCCGTACCACGCAGTGGAAAAGCGCCAATAGGAACAACTTTAGTTTAATTGTTTAGTCGCATACAGGTGACTGAAGACAAAGCTAGTGGTAACTACAGACAGCAACTCTTTCATAGTAAACTGTGCTCTTTAATGTGGAAACTCTTCATCTGATATTGTTGATCAAACAGGAAGTGACAGACCACACCTACACCTTCACAAATCAACAACTGTCCAGTGTGACTTGCACTAACAGGACAGCGAGAGCACAGAAATTTTAGCATGTATTTATTACACAGATATGATTACCAAATGAAGACTTCTGACATATTTATAAAAACTGCATTCACAAAGTGGCAATTAAATATTATTTTATAGCTGAGCATTATTAGCTACACGTATATCCACTTTAGAGATTTTGGTAAAAGTTTACAAAAATTACAATTTATTAATTAGGCATCATGAACTAAACTGAAAAAAAAATTCAGCAATTGCTAGTAAATTTCACAATTATAAAGAAACAGCAAGAAACACTTTGAATTACACAAATTGTTGTAGAGAAATTAAAATAGCATTTTCTTGTAAAATGTACTATTTACCAGTGTACATATGCATAATGTTTGTACAGAGGTTATTAATGTAGACTAATATTAATATTTATTGTTACCTTTATATGATTAATATATTTTTTACATTTAATAAATGACATCAAGTTATCTATATAGTAAGTTATAAACAAATAAATTATAATCAAATAAACATGATTCATTATTAAGTATTATGTGAATTATCAAAAGCATATTTATAAATAAACATTAACCTTAATATCAAAGATTTAACAAATGCTGTAAAAATTGCTGTTGTTAGTTCATGATACCCTGTGCATTAACGAATGAACTCTAAACTCTTATTGTAAAGTGCTACTTAAACTTCCATGAAACATTATGATTTCATTCGATCACGTTTGTTTTGTTATGCCATTATTAACCCAACTCGATGCTTTGTTTAGTCATCTGTAGACTAGCAGACCGTAAACTAACCTAAACAAAAACCAAGAGTTTAACTTTCAACTTTAAATTTGACTCATGATCTAGAAGCACTATTATAAGAACTAAACTCATTATGAAGTTGAGATGAAGAGTCAAAACTGTCCTGGACCTTTCGAATGAACAAAACACTACGGTATCAATTAACACAATATTCAGACAATAATAAGAATACTCCGAATTACCCAAAGACAAATATCAGGTTCATTCTGTTTACCTCTCCTCTAACTGCACGCCTTGACATTCTCAAAACCAGAGGAGACCCAGAAAACCGCTCTCCAGTATCCAAGAGACAGGCTGAACATCCAGAGAAAATCTTTTCCGCCTCTTTTTCTTGTCTAAAACGCACGTTTCACAAGCCCAAACAAGCACAGCTATGTTTCAGACATGACCTGCCACTAATAAGATAATAAAACAAGTCAATGGTGAAAAGCATGAGCTCCTTTCTTTATGTATTAGGCAGACAAAAAAGTCAGGATTTATGCTTTTTCATCTTGATCTAGTCACACCTTCATGGCCTTTTGCACCTTTATCTCTTGTGGAAAAGGTGCATTTGCATTTATAAACCAGATAGACGCACAACTCTCCAGATTTGACGTCCCATATCTGCAACTCTGCTACATTTGGAATAGCAACATTGGTTGCGTCTCAAAAACTAGTGAGCTGCCTAACTAGTCAGCACTTGTGGGAATCGCAGACGCGTTTTGGACGTTCAAATCGACCAGTATTTGCAAATGATGGAGCTTTCGATTCGATGCCCCAGAAGTGACTCGATTTCATTGTTTAGAATGAGTCTACAATGCTGACTATGTAGGCAGCTCACTAGGTTTTGACACACAGCCTTGGGTTGCAACACTGTATCAGCGCAATTCTTTTGTCTAAACGCGTAAAGGGATTTCAGCGCACTTCAATAGTGTTTACGTTTTAAGAGTTGCATAATATAGCATATAGCTTACAGAAATAAACCCCTGATTGCGTGTATGACAGTTAATCCAGGGCCATGTTTTCTGTCAAGAGTTTGGAAAGAAAGGAGCTTCACTGACTGTCCGCCAAAGACTGTATAACATACACCTAAAATATCACTGTATCTGTGTATATGGCTTGAATGAAAGTATAAATAACAACAAAATATCCCAGCACTTGCCAGTTTGGCCATCAGTTTCTACGGTCTCTTGTTGTTTTGAAGGTAGCCCAGTTCAGAAAAGACAATCCAGTTCAAGGATGCGCAAAACGTGCGCCGCATCTCGACGGACATATACAAATAAAAACAGAAACAACCGTGTGTCCAAACACCAGATACGAAACCCGCGAGCTTCGTGGGAATAGACAGAAGTTACGAGCTTGGCTCACAATTAATACTAGGAGAATCCCAAAATGGCTTCCACAACAGAGTAAAGCCAGACGGATAAAGTCGTTCCTCCTATTTTCCAGGCTCAACTGTCAATCACGCGGCGTACTTTGAATCTATTGGTGGAGAAGACGCGAGTCACGCCTTCCCGCTCTACGTCACACAGTCTTGGATATAAAAGGATCCAAAATCGTCGGTTCGTTAGTAAAGCTGTAGCTGTCTACAGACTCACTTCGGCGTGCAGCGATGTAAATACGGGCATTTGGAGTTCAAATTCACTGTGAATAAATGGAAAGAAAGCTTGTTGGTCAATATTTACGATTAAATACCAAATATAATAATAAAAATTGAATCTGACTTTAGTCACAGTCTCTCGCAAAACTGCGCTATTTTGTCAGACAAACCTGTCAACATTACGCCCACTCATTTTTATGTTAATTTATACAAAAATAGCGTTAATACGCTTATTTAATGATTAACTTATTAAGTGAAAAAAAATCATAAAGCAAAAATAAATAGTTTTAAGCTTTATACTAATATATTATATATAATATATATGAATATATATATTTTTTAATCTCAGACATCTTTATTTGCCACTGACTTACTGTAGACTAATTAATTAAATTAATTCATCCAATTTTTATTTACCAACCCACTGTGCCAAAGTTTAAAAGCAGCTATTAATTGACTTCATCTCCAATACAGAAAAATAAAAAAAGTCTTGCAATATCAAGCAAAGGCGATTCCAAAAGCTGACTCGAGACGGGCACAGAATTGATTTTTCTCTAGTTTTGACACACAATGTCCTTAACAGCCATTAAACAATCCGTCGACACTACACTCCAAAAACAATTCAATTCTCTTTGCAAATTACAAACCTAAACCATCGTAGGCCTACTGAAAATGGCAAAAATAGACCGAGACAGACTGTTATACTTTATATTGATCCCCCAAGACAAATTCAGATGCCAAACCAACGTTTGCACAAGCAGATGCAAAAAGACCTTACTCAACAAATGTGGTCAAATTGTGCCAAGAAACACAAATGCTCTGCAATCACTTTGAATAAATGGCAGACGCACAACTGTAACCCATTTATTTCTTTTAAAAATTGTGGACTCCCAAGCAATTCTTGAATTGTATCCCACAGTCTACAAGTGAAACTTTTAAGGCAAACTTTCACACAATTCAAATGTCAAAGTAAACCACAGCAACACAATGAATTGCATGATCAGATTAATGGGTCTCTTGGTGATATTGCATGACTGTAGTTAGCAACTACCCCTCGCCAAACACACGGTGCAACAGCGCCATCTACCGGTCTCTCAGAGCACTGCTGCAGTGAAGCTAAAACACATCTTATAATGAAACATGTTTGAAGGATGAATGTACGTCAAATTATAGCTTACAATTCAAACTCACTACTGCTAGAGAACAAAGGAGATGTTTAACCACACTGCGATATAATGCTGCTATACATATCAAGTTGCCTTTCAAATGAGGTATAAGTTAATACTTCATATACTTGTCGACCTGTTCACTATTATTTAAAGGTGTGAGATGATCACACTGAATACCAAAATAAGTCAGTATAATCGCTAATCGTTTACCGTTTCTTTCTTCCTGAGGTACTTCTGCAAACTCACCCAGGCGGAGGTTGTCAAAGTCCACTGGTGTGACTTCAGTGAGCTACAGTCCTTCAAAAACAAACGGCTGACTCATAAAGAGCGTGGATATCGACGACAAGAACGAACCGCGTCCACTTACACCTCACTGTGTGATAGTAATGAAACATTATTCATAATAATCTTCATATTTAAGTCAATTGCAAATTCAAAATTAGCAGAGCATTGTCTCTTATTTTAAGTTGTCTGTTTGTTGATTGATTTTGCCTTCTGTGTTTCCAGCTAAGTGAGAAACAAAGAAGGGAGATGGTTCAATACAAGAAAAGAGCTTCACAAATGGAGGCCGAGAGACAGATTCATTACAACAAAAACCTCCTCAATCAGATTCAGACCATTCTTTGGACCAATAAGGTACGAAAATGAGTGTTTCATCAATTATAGGCACTTTTATGCAGGGACTTACCGGTATTTATTTTTATTAAAACTGATATATTTCAGTTTTTTTTTTTATGTTATATATATATGTATATTTTTATTTTTTATTTTTAACCCAGACATTAAATTTAATTTTATTTTATTTTATGAATGAATGAAGTTTCTTATGCTCACCAAGGCTACATTTATTTGGTCAAAAATATGCAAAAATATACAAAAGCTGTACTCTTTCAAAAAACTACTAATATAAACCTTTAAGGTACCAATATGCACCTTTAGGGGTAATTAAGGAACAAATGTGTACCTTCTGAAAAGGTACCGCCCCCGTGACAGCTTTTCTACATTTTTTAAGTGTGCACAGTACTGTTTTTACTGTAGTTGGTCAAATCAGTGCAGCTTTGAGGAGAACAAGTGCTTTTATTAACATTAAAAAATGATTTCAAACTTGACGTACATTTATTTATTTATTTAGTGTATTTGTTATAATTTGTTGTGAATTTACTCTCATATCTTGTTGCACTTGCATTATAGGCACCAAAAATATTGGACGTGCCAAAGCCTTCAGAGCAGTGCCTGTCTGCATCTCCAAAAACAGACTACAGGAATGGCTTTACAGTACCTACTGGGGCCACAGAGCCGTATATTTTGTCTAATAAGCAACCGGTGACCCCTTCAGCTGAGTTGCCTTGGGTTATGAGAAGAAAATCCGCAGAAGAAAAACAAATGCAAGAGGAAATTCAAACGGAAGGAGTTTGTCTGCAGAACCTACTGAAGAAGTCACGTGAATTTATCGAAAAAAGAGCAAGGTAAACAGGGGTCAAAGGTCACCAGCTACACAATGGTTGATCCAAGCAGGATCCTCTCTGAAACCCCGTCGGATAAAGAAAACGGCTGTTCATTGGATGGGACTGCCTTTGGTTTACCCTTTTATATTCCCTCACCAAACCAAACCTCTTCCAGTAACCTGATAAGCCCAGAACCTGGTCTAAAGGCCAGTTTAATTGCCAGACCCCACCGCGGATGTCCCCGTCCCATTTCTGCCGGGAGCATCTTCTTTTCTTTCCCTGAAAACCCAACCAGCCAAACATTACAGCGAATGCAAGGCCACCGGAAGTCAAAACAATTGCAACGCAGGACAGGAAGCTACTTGGAGTGGAAAATGTGAGTATGGGTCGATATGATCACTCGAGGTTGAACGAGACCGTGGGACGACTGGAAACGTCTCCAGTGGCTCCTGTGCTCACAAGCCCTCTGTTTCAAAGGAGATGCCACACGCTGGATAGCCAGCTGTCCTCAGGTCATCAGATTCCAGTCATAGACAGGAGCCAGGAGAGAATGCCTCGCTTTATGGCCGGGGTCACTGCGAGAACTCCCACTCGACTGTCTCCTCCTTCACCGATGAACAAGACTTTCACACGGGACAGTCCCGCAGCAGCATTTATGGGGTCTGGGATCACCCCAGACTCTCCTTCTCGTGCCAGACTACCTTTTGAGACCGAGAGAAACAGTGTTATTAGCACAGCGCTGAAAGAAAGGAGAACAGGTAAGAACAGAGCAAATGTTAAAAGTGAAGATTCAGTTTAGAACCAAAATGAGTTTCAGTCTTATGATATCATAGGAGAACATTTTAAAGTTCCGAAAAGATCTTTGAAATCTAGTTCTCATAATGCCAAGGTCCCCTGAAATATGATGATCCCCTGGCAAAGGACCTTCCTAAAACATAGAACATTTTTGGAAAATTAAATAACTGGCATTTATGAGGTCATTGTACTAAAGTGAAAATAAATTCTTAAAATATGTATAGAAATATTTCCATACACACTACGATTCAAAAGGCTGGATTATTATTATTATTATTTTTTTATGCGTCTCATATGCTTACCAAGACTGCGTTTATTTGATCAAAAATATAAATAATACTGTGAATATTACTACTATTTAAAATAACAATTTTCTATTTTAATATATATTAAGATGTAATGTATTCCAGTGACGTAAAGCTGAATTTTCAGCATCATTACTCCATTCTTCAGAGTCACATGATCCTTCAGAAATCATTCTAATATGATCATTTGCTGCTCAAGAAAACAATTCTTATTATTATCAATGTTGAAACCAGTTGTTGCTGAATATTTTGTGGAGACCATGATACATTCGAAAGGTTTCAATAAATGGAAAGTTCAAAAGAACCATTTATTTAAAATAGAAATCATTTGTAACATTATAAATATCTTTACTGCCACATTTGATCAATCTAATGTCTCCTTTCTGAATAAAAGTATTAATATCTTTCAAAAATATTTTTTTGTAGAGAACTTCTGTAATAAAAAATTAGGAAAACAGCTTTAAAAAAGACACTTTCCCTCGTTTCCCTTTTCTAAAGAACTCCAAAACACTAATATAAATAACCCATAATGCCACATCGATATATTAATGAATCATATAAGGAAGACCACGAATAATCATATAGCAACTCAAGAACCCAATAAGGCCACAAATGATTCTTGACAAGAAAAGTTAATCTCAAAGAACCATTTGAATGTTAATTTGAGAATAAAGATCAGATCTTCATTATTCTTTGATAAAGTATCCTCTCAGACAGTTGTGCATGTCTTTTCCTTAGATGAGATGCAATGGCAAGTCCACGCTCTAGAAGACATGCAGAGGTCTCTGGATGTCGTGTCTGACGGCGGAACAAGAGAGAGAACAACTGCGCCTCAGTCAGGTCAGCACTGCCACATGCTGCTTACTATCTGCCTAGGCAGCTACCTTTTAAGACTGCATCCTAACATAACACATACACAAATATCGGGTCTGATAAAGGTATAAATATACTCATAATCAACATTTCCCTGGACTCCAGCTTGGATGAAGGTTTGACTGGGGATTTGATATGCATCAGTGTGACATTAGTCTGTTTCTCATTCAGGAGACTGCGGAGTCAGGGTGGTCCGAGTCCTATTGCAGGCGAGGACGGGTGTGAATTAAGGACAGCTGGTGAAC